TAAACTGCATTGCGTTGTGAAAATACAGGAAGTGGAGTTTGTTAACAATTAAAATGTTAGAATTAAAAAAAGCCTTCCGGATAATGTTTCCAAAGCCTGAAAATGTCTCTGAACCATTTGGCTTTTCAGCAACCCATGGACCTTCCCTCCAGTAATCAACGGTTAAGCGTTTGACCTCTCGTCCTGCACCTCTTCTGACCTGTCTAGAAGCTCTAGTGGCAAAGTTGGAATTAATAGAGAGCTACCGTGTTCTTACCACCTGAAGGCCTAAGTATCCATTTGTTAATGGCAGTGTTGTACCACTGTAACATCAGTGAAACCGACTGTATTTTCGCACATAAACCATTAATTGCTCAGACTAGCAATTAAAAGAATTAGAGTTAAAAACTGTTGTTGCAGTAAGAGTTGGACATTCTGATTCAGGCACTGACAAGATCCTTTCACTTGGATTTTCCTAGGTGGAAGACTGAATGCGTTTATGAAAAAAACATCTTTTCTGGCTGCGTGTCCCATAGGCTTATTAAGTGCTTTCCAGTATTTTTATTTGGATCTTCTGATCCATTTATTGTTGTAACTCATGCAGTCCCTTCTATTTTTCTGGTGGCTGGAGAAGAGACTCCAGTATTTGTATTTATATGATGTCTTTTAAAAGTTTATCAACCTTTGTTAAGCTTTGTTACTTTGTTAACCAGAAGAGCACTAACCAGAAATGTACTTCCTCCCTTGTGAAGTAATTATCCCACATTAGGAGATCCTACAGTCTGGGAGAGTTTCGACAATTGATCTCTCATGCAAACAGCTAACCCCCTTTAGAAACCTTGGGCTTTGCTGTCTCTTGTTTAGGAGAAAAGTTGTTTTAAATGTTGGAGCTCTAGAGAGTGTTGGGATTTCTAAAGGGTGTATCTCTTTGGAAAAGAGAATCTGCCAAAATGCTCTCTCAGAATGCAGGTGCAGCAGCTCAGGTTCAAGCATGTGTCAGCAATGTGAGAGTCCAGGACTTAGAGGAGGTATTTTAATTACTGGCATGTGCTAAAGCCTGTGCTCTTGTGTCTGTGTCACCCATGGTTCCTGGGTGGTGGTAGAACAAGAATGTCGGCACATGCTTTAACCACAGCTGAATTTTGCTGTGTTAATGCATGCCATATAATTTCCTTTTCATTTGCAATTGATTTATAAATAAAAGAATATATTCTCTGTCCACTGACCACTTAAATCTCAATCTGGGATTTTAGAGTCAAATGAAGTTCTTCTGTGCTTTATGCTCATTAATAAAAATTTTGTGGGCTAATTTGTGTCTTCAGTGAATCTTGTATAAATTCATAATCTTTGATGTTATGTTGTTGAGGCAGAACTTGTTGCAAATATTGTGCAATGCCGCAGTTTTTAATTCCATAACAATATTAACTCTGTTTTGGACAGACTATTGTTAATGTTTAGATACTATAGCACAGATGCTTTCATAAAACTATGTGTGTGTTGCTGGAAAGGGGAACAAGAAGTGCATTTCCAGTCTTCAAAAGTATTTAGAAACTAGGCAAAAGTGTCCTTACTTCCCCCCCAAAGATGCAAAATCAGAAAAGGCAAAAGAAGCACACAAGCAAGTTTTGCTTTGATGACGTGAACGAAGAGTGGAAGCAATCATAAGACATTAGGCAGTGTTGAGCTCAGGACTGGTGGATAGACTGTAAATATAAATCCTAGCTCAGCGTCTGCAAAGTGGACAGGTGTTATGGCCTCCAGTCCACTGATTCCCAAAATAAGACGTGGAAGATTGCTGATCCATGAAGCTCCATGGACCCTCAAAGCGTAAACAATTATGAATTTGTTGGTTAAGAGTTTGGTAATGGTAAATGGTAGTCTGAGAAATTTTAAGAGTTGGTGATAGTCTGTTGGTACAAACCCTTTTCGTTAAATGCTAATGTCATTCGTCAGGAAATTATGGTTTGTCTATGACTTGAGGATTTGGTGGTTCTTCCATCTGAGTTGTAGCTGAGAGCGAGCTGTATTTCTTTCCTGGCACTGTATAATACCAATGTGAACAAGTAGTGTCTTTTTTTTTGTATGTGTAAATATAATTTACATATCTTAAATCATCCAGTTGTGTCTCGTTACAAACCATTGGCTGTGAATCTAAAGAAAGGACCTGTACTCATTATTTAAAATTTTGTCTTCAACATGATGGCTGGAGTTGTTTTTTTTTGGTAACTTCTACTGTATTACAACAGGGGAGAAAATTATGGAACACTTACTGTTCAGGACAAAGAAGAAGATGTAAGATGCCAATTAAGAAATTTAAGGTAAATGTTTCTTGGAGAAACTTCATTTTGCTCCTTTGCTTATGCATGTGAAAATTAAAACATCTTTCTTCGTGAAATAGTACATTGCAGGGTAATGTGGGTTTTTTTTATTTCTCAAGCGTACTGTAATCCACACTCTGCTGAAAGCCTGATTAAATTTTGTAGTAAATTCTGCTTTCTTCAGTCTTTACAGTAGTTTCTGTGACAGTCTGAAAGACATTAAAATGAGATTGATATACATTGTATGTATAAAGTTTTATGTTATATTTTATTGTAACTTAAAATTTTGCATTTGTTTGCTGCATTTTGAGCCATGACTAGATAACTTCCATCTAACAGGAAAATTCTGAGAATTTTTGTTATTGGGAAATGGAACAATTCAAGATTTGGGGAAGGTATGGAAGGAATTTGGGTGGGAAAAGTAAGAATCTAAGATAAACGTTGAAGAGCCAGCAGTGAAAAAAAGTAATAGTTTGATGATAATTGATAAAACAGTCATTTTAGGTTTGGGCAGAGTTTTATTTATATTACACATGTGTTTGAATTTTTCTTTTTTGCTTCAGTGAGAGAGGCATGAAATACTGAAATTTGAACTTTGAATTTAAAAGACAGTTAGGAAAAAAAGTGGTTTGAAACAGATTTTATGAGAATTCTGCTTACATAGTTTCTGAGTATGCCAGTTGCATATTTGAATAAACTGACAAAATGCATGTTTAGAATATCAGGTACTGTCACCATGAAAAGTAAAGACGGTGTTTTAGAGGTCTCTCTACCCACTGTAAGTGGTATCCGTATTGTAACTTTTTCAGTTTGAAAGTAAAAAGATATTTCTTTTCATCTTATCCGTTACTATATGGCTGAAAAATTTCAGGCCAAATCAAGCACTCAGTGTTGCTTGTTCAGGAGCGATTGAGGGAATAATGTGAAGAAAGACTGGTATAGGAATCATTGGGGTCTTCAGACTTTTATGCCAGTAAAATATCCCCATTAATGTTGCTGTAACTTACTTCATTTCACATAATGTACTATAAATAGTTTTTTAGACTCATTAATGGCTGTGTTTATTTGCTATTTGTTCTATTGTGCTAGTTTTTGGTAAAGCCCTGCATAAAATTTCAGCTTTCATGCCATCCAATGAAGGATTAAAATATAAATGCTTGCAGGTTCAAAGAATAGAAAGAGACTGTAAAGGGCTTTGTTTAATTAGCGATTTTTATGTCCATTCTCTGATTCCATGGATCTTTATTCATGACACTTCGATAGCTGGCTTCCCAATACGTTTTCTGTAGCCCTGTATACTCTTGTAATTACGCCTTATTGCCACTTGAGGTCAGCAGCTGCCGAGGAAAAGAAGTACATAAACTCTTGCTTCATTGCAATCCGTTTTCATTTGCTTTATTTACAATACTTAAAAATCAATGCATTCTTCAGATCCATATATACATTGTGCAAAACCGTTTCTTTTGAACGCAAAGCAGCTTTAGCAAAAAGTCTTCCTTGCAAGTTACTACAGAGTGAAAATCTAGAATGGCTTTAAGGAGTGTTTATTGGCTTCCCGAGTAGCATTGGGTAATGGCTGTGGCAGAGAAGGGTGTTCTGCACAATGAGATGGTGACGGGGTTTTAGCCTTATCTTTTCGTTCATGCTAAATTAGTGATAATAAATCTGAATGGAATAAGGTATTATTGCTGCAGGGAATATTTTGGGATCCAGAAATGGCAAATATCCTTCCTTTTTATTGCAGTAGTAACCAATGTTCTGTCAAGATGTGGGGAAGATGTTGCCTAAAAGTGATTTCTCCCCCGCCCCCGCCTTTAATCTTTGCTTTAAAAAAAAAAAAAAAAAGATAAAAACCATGAGCTTGGTGCCAAAGCTTGAACAGGATTTGGGAAACAATTGGCTCTGTCATAGGCTTACTGTTGGCTAGTCATTTCCTTAGCTTGAGTCTCAGTTTCCAGTACGTAACTCAAGGAAAGATATTCACTTCTCTGGTAAAGTTTTAGAAGAAATGTTTTGCGATGGGATTTTTTGATACACTATTTCAACAGTGGGAGTGTCAACAGTAGCATCACACCTGAATCTTGGTGGTTCCTTTCCTGAAATTCATACTGTTGTTTCTTGTGAGTATTCTGTTCTTCCTGTCCTAGATAGTCGCGTAACATTGCTAGTAGGCATACCCTGTGTTTCAGAAGTCACCGCTTTTTAATAGTTTACGAAGTTATCCCCATGCATGATTGGCACCAACTGATATTCCTGTCAAACCTTTTATCCAAAAATCCCCCTGCACCAGGCAAATTTAACAAATGATACAGGCAAGGATCGATTTACTGATCACCAAAACGCAGCAGGGGAGATGTAGGCTAAATATTAGGAAATACTTTTTAGCTGTAACACCGATTAAGTCCAAAGAACAAACTGCCAAATGAAGTTGGGTAATTGCCATCACTAGATTTTCCAGGCTATGAGTATGCCTCCATTTAGCAGGCATGGCTTAAAAGCAATGCAGTCGGTTTTGCCACAGTTCAGAACTTGGACTGAATGACTCATAATATGCATGTTTTAGCCCAAATAATTTTTAAAATTTCTTCCCACTTTACCCTAGCTAGGGATAAAGCAGCAGGGATGTCAGCAAAAGAGTAAAATTTTCTCTCGGCTTGTGCCGAGCCTACATGAAGTAAGAAACAAGTTATAGCGAGAGAGAACGAAGCCCAGGTTGATGTGACCTTTATTATTTTGACAGTGTCTTTCAGCACAATTACAGAGTTGCAGGATTGCAGAGAACAGAGCTGGAGTATAAAATAACATAAATAAATAGAACAGGAGCCAAAGCAGTCAGCAGGAGGTGGTTGGAATTGGGCAGTGAAGGATGGGTGAAGGGTTTGCATTGGTCAAAGCCTTTATGATTCAGCCACCATAGTTGCAAATTCTGGAGAAGGGAAAAATTTTTTAAAAATATTAAAAAAAGAAAATGTAAAGAAGGAGGAAGCATATTACAATGATTACAGAGTCACTGGTGTAGCAGAAACATCACAATAACAGAAGAACAAAGAAATCCAAGTTAATTAAAGGGAAAGTATGACTTGGGAAATCTTACAGTGAAATGAAAGGATTTTTTGAGGGTCAGGGAGAAATGCTACACATCCCAGACTGTCGAGACTGTCCACCGCTATTCATCCGAAGAACTTGATTAGTTCCCTGTTATTCCTTTGTAAATGTCAGCGGGATGAAGGCAAGAACTAGAAATTGAATTTTGCAGTGAGATAAATTTCCTTTATATCAGAGTTTGGCAAAGAGACTCATTAATGAGTCTTTCCGAGTATTCGTGTCCCTGTATTATAAATATATTACATTTAAACTCGATTTTGTAATGGCAAATTGACTGAAAACGACAGATTACAAAAACAGAAGGCTGACACCAACCTACGTAGCAATCTTGACCACATTGGTGATAACGAGAAAAATTCCTGTGATCTCAGAGGGCCAGGATTTTACCCTGTGGCTTTTATTAGTGTTGCATCCATAATATTTACATAAATGTATCTATCTGCAGCTTGGGGTTATTTTATGCTTTGGTATACACAATGCCTTTCAGCAGGGTGATAAGGCACGGAAAAGGCACGTTTGTATCCCGGTGAATAGCTGCCTGGCATACTGCACTCCGAACGCTGTATTACCCCGGGAGGTCGTAATTCCTGACTCCACCTAACCTTGGAACACGCGAACACTTGAGAGTACCTCGCACAGCTGTGTGTGCCTCAGAGCGTTAAAAACGACAGGCTGGAGGGAATCCCAAGAAGGGCAACAAAGACGATAAAGGGATTAGAGGGTGTACGGAGAGAGTGGTTTGTGGGTTTAACATAATCAGCTGAGAGGAAAATGGCAAATAGGGGAGGCAGTCATCTGTAAAGGCTCAAGAGAAAATTACTGAAGTGTGACATAATGCAGAGTAATGTCTTGCAACTAAAAAAGATAGAAGATGAAAATTAGGCATTTTAAAGAACGTTCTAACGTTCAGTTGAAAAACGCTAAACTCTTAACAAGTGAGACCTTTACTGACTGGTGTGTACAAACAGATAGCGCTTTTGATGACGTGTCCGAAAAACAGGTTGCCAAACGCTAACAAACCAAACTGAGAAATAAAAGTGTCAGAGGGTTTAAATTAAATCCACATTTATCCATCATTTTGAAAGATGTAAATCCAAATTAGGATTAGTGATGCAGATTACTTAACACAAAACGTGTATAAATCCTGTACACGGTGGGTACATAGATGGAAAGTGTGGCAAACTGAATTTAAGAGATAACATAAAGTACTTGTGATAGAAACCCAGACTATTCTGGGCAAAAACCGAAAAAGGCTATGATTATTGAATCACTGTGTGAATAAATCCTGCAGAGAGAAACGTGAACTGCAATGGATGAGACCCTTCCAAAAGGGAAAACTAGCTATGCAGATTCTATTAAACAAGTTGCCATACTTGCTACAGCTAAATTAAATCCTTTTTATAATAACTTGTATCTACAGAATATATTTGGAAAAGGTTATTCAGACTTGCAGCCAAATATTTTCTGTAATTCATTACAATAGCGGTATTATCACTTAACGGCAATGTATTTCACGGGTACTTTCTGATAGCCAGCAGACCATAAAATACTCCTTCATGAATAACTGCAATGCGCTTTATACTTTTTCCAGGATTTTCAACATACTTTAAATATTTCAAAGATGTTCCAGCGGAATAATCTTGTAAACTAGTTCACCATTTATTTCCCGGTGAAGGTTAGCCCAACCACGGGTGGCTTGTGGAGGCATTGTTACAAAGTGCATTTGCATATGCAAAACTTCTGAGATAATGAGGCACCGTATATTAGCCCCTGCCTGTTGGTCCTTCTTGTAAGTGTTTATTGCCTCTGACTGGCCTGTTAGCGAGAGAATCCTTGTGATTGACTACATCCTCTTTTCCAGTTGTCATTCGCCTTCCAAACAAAACTGTATCTTTCTTTGCACAAAAAATAGTTTTAAATTACAAGGATTTAGACTATTTTGTCATGTAAAATGATTTACTAGCTAGCTTGTGTCAAAGCTCTGACTTAAAAGGAGAGGGTTGTTTCACTGTGTTCAGTATAGTTTAGTAGTTTATACCAGCCTAATGCATGCCCGGCGATATTTTACTGAAATGACAGATGTAATTACAGAGGACATGTTGTAGGCTAATGATTCCTCTCATCAGATTGTGTTTTTTACGTTATCCATACAACAGCAAATCTGTTTAGGAAACTTCATAAGTAATGACTTACACTAATTTATTTTAGAAGATACGAAAGCATGAAGAGGGACAAGAAAAGAAGGACTTCCAAAGGATTTTTCTTTTTTGTCTTGACTTTTACCTGTAGCAAGGCTATGATTTGTCAGTCGTAATTTTGAATGCTTGATGTCTCATTTTTACAACGTTTAAAGAAAATAATTGAAATATTTTTAAATATCTGCAGAAGTTGAGCTGCATCAAGGAAAACATTTAAACTTACTGGGATAAAAATTTGGGTTTGTTCTGTCTACAGTGCATGATCTTTAAATTCTCGATGTGCTTTCTCAAGTCTATTAGTATCAAGAAGCTGAAAGTCGTGATGCGCATGTCCAGTGCTAATACACAAAATAGATTAAAAAAACGTTATGAGCAGAAATCTTCATTTTCTTTTCTCCTCTTTCTTATAAATGTTCTGAAGCTGACAGAGCTGCTTCAGCATCGCTTCCCCATCCAATCTGGAAGCTAACGTTTGTAGTTTTGCTAGGTAACCTGGCCTTGGCCTGCAATTTTTGTCCAGTTCGTCATCTCCTGTTCACATCAGCGGAAGATGGAGGGGGCTCGACATCACACAGAAGATGATCGTGTCTTGCATGAACAGGCTGCAAGTTTTCAACTGTTTGAAACTGGCAGATCAGCCACAAATTACAAATCTTGATCGGGCAAGAGGTAAGCTGGTGGAGCAATTTCTGAGCTGAACAGTCTTGCAGGAATGATAAAAGGTTTAAAGCGGGAGACCCAAGAGGAAATTTGTAATGTGAGGCCTCTAACTGGAAGAAGGCTGATTAGGTTGGGATTAACGCTTGTGATGATAGGTCTGAGAAAGATGGCTCTGTGGTGTTCAAAATCCGTGAAGATCAGTTCTTACAGCTGCTGTGGGCTCCTGAGGGACAGCGTTCAAGGGCCATCTAGTGAATTAACATTAACCCCTGTGAAAGGCGGCGTGTTTGTGATCATTCAGTGATGTACGAAGCTGATGTTTGAAACAAGGGGTAAAAGTGAGGCCTGACAATTCAATTACAGGGACACAAACAAATGGATTGCAACAGAAACACAGCAGTGCGATACGGAATATGAATGTGATGTACATTCGTGACTTTACATTTTATTTACACAGGCAGTTATAATCTGGAATTGGATTTGTGAACCAAAGGAAAAGCAGGACAGTATCTGTCATCCTCATCCTTTGGTCACAGTCCCAGCTGTTAACTTTGCATGGATTTCAAGCCTTTCCGGTGTAACAATTTGCTGTTAGAGTCAAATTTAAGAAAATTAAGAAATGGAAAAGAAACCTGTAATGTTGTATACTAGGGATACGGCCAGAAGAAGCAAAAGAAGAAAGCCCTTCATTCTCTTCTCATTATCGTGTATAAGTTCAGAGTAATTCCAGTTCAAAGTTAAGGAAGGGTAAAAGTTGCAGAAGAAAGAGATAAGGAGAAGAGGTGTTTCGTATTGCTTTGTTACAATGTACTGGCTTTCAGGCATCGTTTCACCTTTAAAAAAAGTTCTGGTCAATCTTAAATAAAAAAGTTAATGCTGTATCCTCTTGTATAAGCCACAATCATCCTGCAATATAGTTCTTTTCTTCCAGTTGATACTGCTTTTGTTTTGCAGCCTTCCGAGAATAACTGAAAATGTATCTGACGTGAGGTTGGTGGGTCAGCTGTAAGCTTACTTACCTGAATCAAGTTTTCTTCTGAAAATCTTGCCCACTGATCTGCCACTAATTTTAACGGGAATAAGGAGGACCCATACAATAAAGCATATGAAATTTCAAATAATGACACACTTCTCTGGTTCAGTAGCGCTGCTAAAGTTTAGCGGGAACTTCCCCTAGATGCTTCACAATTGCTCCTCTGCAACAGTAATATAATCATGATCTGAGAAATTAAGAGGCTTTAGCCTAGAAACAGGATCATAGTCACCGACATGCCAGTGTGCTATGGACAGGCAGTTTAGCTAGTATGTCACCTGACTAATATGTCAGTGGGTGATTTTGTATGTCATTTTTTCAGCTTCTAAACTGGGAAGCTATGTTAGTTAACCTTATTTTGCTTTCTATTCCTTTTCTAATTGCTTCTTAGTTGGAGATAACATTTTTTACAAATCCCAGAGATCAGGTAACACAGAGAGATGTGAAGTTTTTTAGATATTTTTTAGGTTTCACCCTATCATATGGCTCGTCAATATGGTGAAAACTTAGCAATTGCCTGCAGTCTAGGTGATTTAGTACTCCGACCACAAACCTCTGCTACTATCTCCTCCAGTGAGGAAAGATTTAATGCAGAAATGCATCTCTGCATGTCTTCCTTCTGAGACACACTTCCAATGTGTCTCAGGGATACAGAAGAAAGAGGAAAAAGGGGAAATTTTGTATGTGGGCTAATTGGATTCATCCCAAGAGGGAACAGAAAACAGCAGTGATTTTTTAAGCAATGCTGCGAGAGGAAAAGTTGTTCTTTTCTTGTAGTTCTCATCTTTAGTAAGAGGGAGCGACAAGCTTTCTTAGCTGTGAAGACCCACATAAACGCTAGCCAAAGCTGGATAGACAGTTATTGTATAGGAATTCCCTAGCAGACTGACTTTACTTTGAATTTTAAGAGCATTGCTTTGCTAAGTCATGCATCACTTTCTTATTTACTAATCATCAAGCAGAAATGCTGGTACTCAGCTCTTTTACTTTCTCCTTTCTAAGTTTTATAGTCAAGCCCGGGTCTTTGAACTGCCAGTGTCCTGATCCTCACTCCACTGAAATCAACGGGAAAATTAAACTAATTGAAGTAGAAGTTGGACCGGTACTTAGTCCTGTGCTGTAGTGTGCCTTGACTGCATCTCGGTCTCTGTAAACTCTTGCCCCCTCTAGTGTCAGAACTCGCCTCCTGTTTCCCCTAAAGCCTGCAAGCAAGGTATGGCAAATGTAGCAGGACTTTGCATTTCATTATAATCCAAATTGTGCCCTTGAGAAGGTCACAGCCCCGCGGGATTCCTAGATTTCCTCAGTTCTGGTATGTAAGAGTAATATTCGATTGTTACTGTCCAAGTTTACTCCTCTAATCACATACCATCAGCGCCAATTTTACCATCACCGTCCTTATCTCCAGCAGCCAGAAGAGCCTTCGTTTCTTTGTCCGATAGGTCTCTTCCATCTGGGGTAAAGCCCTTCAGTACAAACCTAAAGAGGAGGCATGGAAAAAGGAAAAGTGTTTTTCAGAACAGTTTCACTTTGTATTTAATTGTGCCACTGTTCTGATATATGAGTTGGAATCCAGGGTCGTACCCTCTGTTATTGACCTTCTTCAACATTCTGGAGGAGCGCTTTACTCTGAAACTGCATGTGACTGAAGAACTATCTGTAGGGTATCGACCGTTCGTGTGTCTCAGGGTCCTGCAATAAAAGCTACGGCTAGCTACCTCCAACACGCTTTAGATCACATACTCAGCAAACAACTGATTATTGCACACAAATACTGGTCAAGAGATTGAATTGTATGATCTTATCTAGAGTCTTGTAAAGAAGAAAACAGGGAATTAGACTCTTAAGACAAGGTTATTTGAGAAAGGACGTATCTTTACTTACTTTAATTCTTCCTCTTCGATGAAGCCGCTTCGATCTTTATCAAGAATATGGAAAACCTTCTTCACATCTTCTGGGCTCTTCTTTTTCAATCCTACCATCTCGAAAAACTTCTTGTAGTTAAAAGATTCAGCCGCTATGGGAGATGAAAGGCCAGAGAACTGCTCAGAGAAATCACTGAAACATATGTCAACACATACCCGTGGCTTTCTTTCATACTGCTGCGCGTCCTACCCTGGGAGGCACAGTCGAGCCCAGCTGTGGTGGGAGCTAGATGTACGCGCTGTAATCCTCCCTGCTTCGCAGACAGCAGTTGAAACAAGCAAAGGGGGAGAGGGGCAGGGTCTCCGCTCTGCAGGCGAAGAGCTGAGCTACTGGGGGATGGAGGCTTGCCCAAGGTCACACAGGAAGCCTGTGGTAGAGTTGGGAGCTGAAGTCTAACCCGCTCGGACTCGTTTCAGTGCCTTAACCCCCCTTTTTTTTTTGCTAAGTTTTACGCTAAAACGGTCACCTGAGAGCGGACTCTGACTATTAGATCGCTGTCACTTTTTGACATTTCCACCCCTGGGAAAGAAAACCGACCCTCTCTTGCTCAACCACGGAGCCCAGCACTGACGAGAAGTGTTTCGGAGCACATGGCTGTTTCCGTTCTGTTTCGTTTTTCCCGAAGACGGACTAGAAATCAGTGTTGCATTTCTATCGCTAAAGGTACGAGCGACGGTGGTTTGTAAGCCCGGCCACTGCAAGGGAGTGCTGTGCTGTGAGCTGCCTGCAAGACCGACCGTGTGAGGCACGGTCGCCGGGGAGGGAAAAGAAAACCAGCCCAGAGCCCTTGAAATCGGAGCCGAGATCAATGAGTTTACCTGCTCCACCTCTCCCGGCCTTTCTCCGCACCCGCTTTTGTCCCGCCCACGTAGCCTTGCGAACGGCCGTGGTGGGGATTAGAAAGGTGTGGATTCGAAATCCAAAACAGTGACCTCCAAAACGTGCTGTGGACTTCCCCCCCGCCCTTCCCCGTGCGCCTTTATTCCCGCCGCAGCTTTTCCTATTACATAAAATTAAGGAGGCTCAGTCTTTCGGGGTCTGCTTGACTGAGATCTGTCATTAGTTGCTGCTAATTGCATCTGCTCCGGGACTTGGAGGTGGCCCCAGAACAATGGAAGCTAATGAGAAAAACAGCTGCTGGATCGAGCAAAGCAGTTTGTTGGTCCCTTCGACCCTCCGGCTGCTGAGTTTATCCGGGCTCAGCGGGTTTGGCGCTTCTGTCCGTTCGGGAAGGTCATGGCAGAGAGCGGGACGGAGAGGGGCTGCTCTCCCCGGTGGTGCCATCAGCCGGGTGGTTTGGGGGGAGGTAGAACGTGTGCATCCCGAAGCACCATTTCTGGCGTTTCTTTGGGAGCAACCTTAACTGCCTGAATCTCTGTAAGCACGAAGAGGGTTTGCTGTCAGCTTAGGGGTCGCGACGAACTAGAGGGGTAGGGAATATCTGAAACCCGGAGGAGTCTGAGGGGGAAGTACGGACCGCTGCAGCCATTCGTCCTGCAGAAAGCTTCTGCAGTCGAGCAGTGCACCCGCTTGCTCTTACTGTCGCCTTCTGCTCCATCCCGAAAAGCAAAGCCCACCCGGGGATTCCGCATAAGAAGTAAGAAAAGAGCGAAAAAAAACTCCTTGAAACGAGAAACAGCAGTTCTGCAATACCTGAAACTGAATTTCGAGGGTGAGCCGCCGACATCCACGGCCGACTTCCCCATCCCACATCAAGATACAATCCACCCTGGTTCGCCCGGGGTTTTGTTCCCTTTGAAAGTATCCTCTCGGTAGGAGCAAAGTCTGTCCGCAGTTACTGCTTGCCTTCCTTTAAAATAAGTATTTCACCTCCGTAATGTGCAGGGCAACTTTGCTGAGGAAGCAGCCCTGCACTTGATAAACCTGTCATGCTTTCACTGCACTTCTGAAAACACATCCTCATTTGATGTTTTGTCTAGCCGGATCCTCTAATCTTCCCCGATCTTAAATAAATGCACTGCTATCCTAAGCCGAAGAGACGAAAGGGGGGAAAAGGGGGGGGGGGGGGAAAAAAAAAAACTCCCACAGCCTTCTTGATATCCTCAGCGCTGAGCACGTCAGTCATAGCCATCCTGCAACTGTTTGAACAGGGAAGCAAGTGCGAAAAGATTAAAAAGTGCTTTTCTCATCATTTCTGCTCATATGACCAAAGCTGCAGTGCTGTGTGGGGATGGCACACCGGGAAAGGCTGGAGCCGCGCCAGCTATATAGCTCTGCGTGGATAAGTGCCATGGGCTGCCGCGCTCCAGTTCGCAGAGCGCACCGAGTAGTCCACAGACGCGAGGGTTCGGCTAAAGAGGGGGGACGGGGATGCCTTTGCGGGGACCGGGGTGGGGGAGGACGCGAGTCGGGGTCGCTCCCTGGGAGGCTGGAGCCTCAGCCTTACTGGAGCAGTGCCAGAGTCTGTCGTGGTACCGGCTGGAGAAAGAGTTGTGCCAAGGTCAAGTTCTCGGGTGCGGTGGGAGAGCTAGTGGTGCAGAGCAGAGCCTTTTCCCTTAGGAAGTCAGGACGAGCTTTACCAGTTATCTTCGGTGATGAGTAAGGAACTGCAGCATATGCCAAGCTTCAAGCTGCTCTTGAGGTCGGGAAGCAAACGTAATGTAGGTTTTGAACATTTGCCTTACCGTTCAAACACTTTAAACGTCTCCCCCTTCCCCCCTCCCCC